AAAAAAAAAAAAAAAAAAAAATCACAAAAAAGTTTATTTTCTTCAATTTTTTTTGCATAAAATAAAATGAATGAAACATTGTAAACAATCCCTTTTCGTCCTCCCACCAAGCGCCCACAAAAAACATAATTATTATAGTAAAGTTTGAATGAATTGCTTTCAATGTCTAATCATAAATTATGCTTAAGTTGCAGTTGTTGTAGGAGCAAACGAACAAACATAGAAAGAAAAAAAAAAAAAAAAAAATAAATAAGAAGAAGAAGCGAAAACGAGAAACGAAACATTGTTACATAATGTAAGGATGATGAAGGTATATATAAACTAACTAACGAACCCACCATCTTCTTATAAAGTTTTGTTTATGCTCAAGTGTAAATATTTGGGCAAACACACATATACAAACTAAGAAATTTTTAAAAACAATTTTATACGTTTAACTCTAAATGCGTATATATGCATTCATGTGTGTGTGTGTGTGCGTGTGTGTGTGTATGTATGTATGTATGTATGTATGTGTATATGTATGTTTTAAATCATGGTGTACTTACCTAACAGTGTGTAGGCTAACAAAAGAGCACATATGCCCAGATTGGTAAGAACCGCAGACCAAATTGTTTGAGAGTTGTGTTTACGGTGTCGTCGTCTATTCTTCTTCGTTGTGTTGCCAGCTGTGTTCGATTTCGTTGATAGCGTTGAGCCTGACGACTTTGTAGGATGTGTGTTAGCTGAATTGTTGTTGTAAGAGTTACGCCCCTGTTTGTTGCCAGAACCGAAACAAGCACAGCACTTGGGTGAGGCGGGTCTGTGTTGTAAATTACTACGACTACTGTTCTTGCTTGAGCTGGCAGTTGAAGTGAGTAATGTATGCGACGGAGGGGGTGGTGGTGGCACGCTTGTACCACTATTACCTGAAACGGAGGTGGAAGTCGTAGCGGCAGTATTGCAATTATTATTGCCTGCAGCAATATTACTTGTTGCGGTCAGCGTGGCGGGTGTTTGTAATTTGGCCGTACTTTTTAAAGTGCCACATGTCGTCGCGTCAATATTTGTACTAGTCAAACTGACAAGATTGCCGGTAGCGACTACAGCTGATGTGGCAGTTGGTGTTAGCGACGATGCGATACCAACAACGCCAGGTGGTGGTCCTGGTCCTACACCCAATGGTGGTGGTGGCATACTCAAAGGTATAACATTTGTTGTCGCACTCGTCGAAGGATACTTACGTATACTACCAGCTATTATAGGCTGACTGACAGTTGCAGCCTCAATATCCTCTAATGTTGGCATGGGTAAAAGTGGAGTCTTAAACGTGGTAGTAGAACTTCCTGGTGTTGATATGCTTTGCACTGCCGGTGGCGGGGGTGGAATCATGTCAATTGTCATATACGAACTGGGTATGTTTGCATATTCACTGCTTGAATTTAACGGTTGTGTTAAGGTGGCGACTGGCTGTACTGCAGCACTGCCAGTAGTTGCATAGTGCTGCTGCTGCTGCTGCTGCTGTTGTTGTTGTTGTTGTTGTTGTTGATTATCCATGTTTATAAAAATTTTTGAGATTACCTCATTTGTGGTTGTGGTTTGTTAGTGATTGTAAGCTGAAAGAGCAAAAAAAAAAAAAAAAATTATTTAAAATTTTATACCCTTAGTAGAGGATAAAATAATATAAAGTTGTAGAAAAATATGAAAGGAAATATATTCGGCTTTCGATACTTATTACTTAATCATTTTTGTGGACTTTTAACGAAAAAACACATTATGAAATTAATGAAAATATATTCCATAAATAATAAATAAGATTAATGTTATAGTAACATGCTATGTAAACGTCAATAAACAATTACGTAAAATATAAAATAAGACATTTCTCAACACTAAGCATACGTAGATAAATTCTTATAGATACACTATTATTTATAGTACAAATTGTTTGGCATAAGTATAATACGCACATAAATATATAAATCATAACGTGTTCGTAAAATACATATATTAAGGACATAGAAAGTTTCTCACATAAATCGTAGGAATAGAAAAAAGTTCAAATTTGCAAATATTTTCTAACAGTTAAGTGTACCTACATATAGAGCGGTTTACTTCATATTCGAATTTAATCTGATAACACTAAAGAAAGGTATGTCCGTCCAGTGAAAGTCTACATGAAGCATAAATGAATTATTTTATTGCTTGGATGAATGTGACTCCACCCAGAGAGAGAGAGAGAGAGAGAGAGAGAGAGAGAGGAAGAGAGAGTGCTTATTCCAAAACCAAATAAACATAATGTTAAGTAAGTGAACCATCGATAAAGAATTTGATTATCCATGGCTGCTGGATGTGGTGCATTACGGTTTGTTCCAATAAAATGAAAGCTATCAATGCCAATTGATGGAATTTAGATGAAAAATAGCTACAACATGCCAAAAGCGATAATATTGTAAGTTTTCGTCCCCACACAGATAAAACTTGCTTTTGGAAATATATACAGTTCTACTCCGGGCTGCTATCAGTAGATACGACCTCAACCAATTAGCACCGATTAGTTCCAATAAATGACTTATTGCTTGTTCAATCTTCCCGTTCACATTACTACGACTAACTATATCCAACAATGGGCTCTTTTGGGACTGAGTAGCTAGCTGCCATTTCACCGTGGAATTCCTATTATTTCTAATAGATAGCAGAACTACTACTGCTTAGCGTTAGACAATATTTTGATATAGTAAATGTGTAAATATTTTTTCATAATAAAGCCTCGAATGCCGGAAAAAAAAGAACCCAAGCCCAAGTAAAACTATATAAGAAATGTGTGCAGGAAAAAAGAAATCGAGTTATTTGCCTATTTGTCAGAACTGTACTTTATTAGTATTCTCAAGAGAACACTACAACATCTAATAATATAGTATTCTCCTAAAAGTCCTGGATATGGGAAACACAAAGTAATAGATCCACAAAAAAGCGAAAAAAAGCAAAGAAGCTCAAATGTACAAAAACACGCCCCCCCCGCCCCCCCGCGGCCCCACCGCATTGAAAGACCCTTTTTTTGCGGTGGCTACACGAAAAAGATGCACATTACTTGAATGCTGTGTTGATTGAGAACAAAAAAAAAAAAATAAATAAAGAGGAGTAATTTACCTGACCGATTGGCCGATTGTTGCCCTAGAAGAAAATTTGAAAAAAAAAGAAGAGAAAACTCAAAACAGCAATGTAGGGCTTCAGAGACTGACTAAGAAACCGAAGAAAAAACGTTGAAAAAACTTGTAGGAAAAATTCGATAGCTTAGTGAAAATCGGAATTTCTGACACTGCTTTTTGCAGTGCTTTCGAAAATAAATATAAAACATTTATGCATAGTATTGTGCACAATTTGCGGTGAGTATAAATAAAATGCTACCTATACGTTGTCGTCGTTAGACCGGGAAAAAGGAAACTTTGCATATTCGTTTTGCAATAATATTTTATGTTTGTTTATTTTTCTCTCCTTTCCTGAGCCTTTGTTCACTTTTATGAAAACTCAGAAGTTTTTTTAAGATATTTAAAGTTTTGCAATATTTTTTTTTTTTTTTTTTTTTTTAGCTCTTGTGACTTTTAAATATTCGTATAGATGGGATGGAAGTTCACAATATCGCGAACGGAGTGCAATTTTTACCGAATTCTTAAATCGCATAATGGAATGTATATAAGTAACTAAGCGAATAAAGCAACATCACCGTGAAAGTATAAAAATACGTGTATAACGTAAAAGTCCTTAAAAATGAAACTTTTGTAAGAGGAATACAATTTTTATGACGCTGCGAAAACTATGCGTAATATGTATAGTATGTATGTATGTATGTATGTATGTATGTATGTATGCATGTATGCATTTTGAGTAAAAATTTTCTGAAACCGCCTTAAAATATGTTAAGCATGAATGCTTTTAATTGCGTGTAAGTGCATGTAACTGCATGTAAACGGCAAGCGTGTATTTGATTTTTAATTTTTTTTTTTATTTTTTATTTTCTTTAAGCAACTTTTAATATTTACTTAACTTCTTCGCTATTGCGATCCACGATTTACATACACTTAGGCCATTAAAGGCATGTTCATGCATTAAATGCAAATCTTGCTATATGTTATGCGTAAATATGATGATGAGTATGTGATCTGAGTAATTTGTCTTTCTGTATTTTTTTTTTTTTTTTTTTTTTTTTTTTTTTTTTTTTTTTTTTTTTT